ATTCAGAAAATCTTTCTACTATTTTTAAGCGTTTAGCTTCTACATTACATACTGAAAGAATTGGCGTGTCTCTGCACCATGTTTAACAATGCAAACGCTTCATCTAACCTAGGAATCGACTCTTCTTCTTCTTCATTCTTCTGCTTCTACCCCTTCTTTATATTTTTGTTGCCTTTTCACATGTCACAATAGAATTCCTGTTGTGCAAACACAAACATCGCACGTCACGAATTGTTAGAAGTTAACATCGATGGCAGTGCAATTTTTAGCAATCTTATTCACACGCAGGCTTAGCATTTTATTTTGTTGCTGAGTTGTTGTTTTTCCACCCATCTAGTTTTTCTTCGATAGCAGCTGCTATACCTTTATCATTTTTACCAATATAAAATAGTTTCTAGCTGCTGACGTTTTTCCCGGTGACAGCACGTAAAATGGCTATAGGAAGAGTAACTATTTAATTTCTAGAGTATTTACTTGTTTTTGTACATTTTTACGTACTGAACCGCTCGTTTCAGTTTTGGCGGCATGACGACCAATACAGGATGTGCGAAACTTTCAGCGTTCCGTCAGCGAGGATCACAAAGTGTGTTGCTTTCCAGGACAATAGCAGCCGAGTAGTGACTTGCATGTGGGATGGCGGAATCAGAGTGTGGGAAGTTTTAAAACGCCGCACTCTGGTTACCGTGCCCCAGGCCCATGCTCAGAAGATCATCGACTGCGATGTGAGCAACAACTGTCTGTGGATTGCGTCAGCATCGCAGGACGCCACCTGCAAACTGTGGTCTTCAGACGCCGACGTTTGCCTGGGCAAAATCATTCACTTGCCATATGCCGTTACCTGCTGTCGCTTCTCCCCCACCGACGACTACCTGATGACGGGTGACGCTGCCGGCGAAGTACGAATGTTCTCGTTGCCCCACGGAACTTTTTGCCATAAACTGTCTGGCCATTCATCAGCGGTATCCGAAATTCGGTTCCTGAATACCAGTCCCGAAGTTTGCATGTCTTGCGCATCCGAAATTAAATTTTGGAGTCTTAACAAAGAAAAACCCCTACGGTCATATCCGCTAAGTTGTCCTAGTTCGAGAAAGGTTGCTTTGCTGACCAGCAATCTTATAGTTATCGCTGACAATGGTGGAAGGCTTTACGTCTTATCAGCTCTTACCCGGGTGTCACATGATACCTAAGTGCCATTATCACTGCTTATCAGAAAGGCTGAATTCGTTGATCCCTTACCGGTATCATCATCTATACGTGTATTCCTGTTTTTATGGAAACGGGTCTTCTGTACGCTGTTAATAAAAATTTACAAAATAACTGCCATTCATTGTCATAACAGGCATTTTATTCTATGTTGTCGTAGCACTGTACTACGGCTAAAATCATCTATGCTGCAACAGTCATCTGAAAACAGACAACAATTCTAACATGAATCGGCATATGTGGAAGGGGGACGTTCTCGCAGAATGCTTGATGATTTCTGCACGAAGAAATGCATACGATGTGATCAAAGGATCAGAAGCGCATGCCTAGTCGCAAATGCTACCTTAAGCGTATACCACCTGCAAAACAGCTCGTTGCCTGATTGCGAACTGGGCAACGCATGTTAGTTGTTTAGAATCAGCAAAAAAAAACCACTCCTCTTTTTTGTAATTAATACCAAGTTACTAGTGCGTGTTCACAACTGTCAACCGTGTGCTTATACAACAAAGAATCGAAAAAAATTTTGATTACGTAAAATCTGGATTATTCAAAACTGCCACAGCAAAAGTAACGATTTGTTTATGAAGAAAAATGTATAGCGACGAAGTAGAAAAACAGACATACATTACGTTAAAGTGTGTACTGAAATCAATTTCCGCAACATTAAAGAATATAACTTCGAAAGACTAAGGTAGCTACTATCAATTCAGTTTTCAAGAAGCTGAACAAAATTTTACTTTTTAATAAAGAACAACAGAAATTTTAAAATTCTCCAGATCAAAAGGTGTAGTCGCATCATCGCCTTACTATTAGTAGCCTAGGTAACGGTTGCTTTATAACGCTGTTAACATCACTGTTATCGCTACTTGCTTATTACGTTTCGTAAAACAATCAGGAAATCCGAAACTGACTTATTAAACGGTGGGTAACGGTCAAAGATTTATAGGGAATACTGCGTAACGTAAGCATCTTAGGGCTTAAAAATTACGAGAAACGTAACTGATGTTGAAGACTGTATAAAACCGGATCAATTATTAGTGCTCAGTTGGGTGGTTATCCAGCACCGAAGATTCGATAAGGGTTATCTTGTGAACGGGGTTGATTTCCAAAGTCCGTTCTAAGCAGCAGTTAAACAGAGAAAAACACTTTACAGATAAATTCATGATCGTTAATGTGTCAAGAGTGCACTTAAATGCGAGCTCAAGTCAATCCTTACCATCTAAGATGGAACTGACTTCCACAAAGTGGTCCTATTGCGACAAAGACTAACCGCAACAGCATAAATTGATCATTTTACTCAATGACTATGGAACAAGCAATGCATAAACGCATTAACAATGCACTTTTCATGAGATGCATTGCAGTGTTCATGCGTTTCAATGAGGCAGAAGTTAAGATATCTGATAAAGCCATGGAATACAGCCGATGCTGCTCCACATTGCAGTTACAGCTGCAGCTTTCACGCACGGTTCCGGAAAGGAGGGCGAAACAACTACTACTTGCTCAACTGACAAACTGGACGGTGAACAACGACTTGAGTTAAGTAATTTAGAGGACTCTAGTTATCTTCTATCGACCCTCAAATTCTGGTACAGGAACGGGAAATTTGGAGACCTCATCTGATGCTGTTGTTTCCTCGACTCGACAGGACAAGTCATCCTCGAAATGACGGAAACTTAATACATTCGTGTCGAATTATTCAGCCGAATATATTGATGTGAGCGAGCTAACTTTTATTTCTGAATTATCAAGGTTCTCGAAATGTTCAGGTATTTTGCATGGAATTTGTTTGTTCGGTCTCAAGTTTAAAAGAAGCATACGAAATTTCGAATAAACTAGCAATAACTACTGTTTTTGGCAATAAACTTTAACGGCTCAACTTTATTATACCACCACCACGCTAAAGTACTGATCTACTACCCACAGCCTGCGGCTGTGTTTATCTACACTATACCTTACTTCGTCAAAAGATCCCAACCACACTCTATGAGGACTTGTTAGAGATTTCGAGTGAGTGTACATTGTTGATGCGTTACCAACTGCACGTATTATCTACTATATGTACAAAGAATTTTGCTTTAATTCAAATGTATCGCTAACACTTCATTCCTATAATCCAAATCACCCAATCATCGCCCTCTTCCGACCGCGCGTTCTCACTTCTACCAACTTCGCCAAGACTTTTTCCCCGCCATCTCTGTACACTTCTTTATACGAGCTAAGAATCGCGTCAAACAAAGCTGCTGAGTCAGGGTGAGATGATAACAATGCTTTTTCAAGCACGTGTAAATCCACCGCCTTATCTTCTGGCAACTGACTGATGTAACTGAGACCAAAATCGATCATCACCACATCCGCGTTGTCGACCGGCTTCCGCAAAAGCATGTTTGAAGTAGTCAAATCACCATGCACCAAGTGGTGCTGATGCATCGTTGCTATCAGTTGGCCAATGCGGCCGGTCACCAGCTTGAACACAGGCAGTTCGACGGAGTCGACGTTCAGCGACGAGCGCAAAAACTGGCGAACGGAAACGGAATTGGAAATGCGCCCCAAAATTAGTCGGTTCCTCTTCGAGTCAACGAAGTAAATGGGCGGAACTGGCACCCCAATGTGCCAACAGCGTATCAGACACCTGACCTCTGTTCGTAGCCTCTCCTTGTTAAGTTGCTCATCGAGCGACGGATGCCGATACTTTTTTGAAAACCTCTCCTTTATGATCACCTCCCTTCCAAGAAACACGCCTTCATAAACCCTGGATTCGGCTCCTTGTTCAATGAGGCGAATCTCTTCCGAATAGTTGAACTCTTCACTCCCTTTCCAGTCATCAGCTTCTTCTCCCTCCATAGATTCTGCTAAAAACGACTTTACAACTGCCTAACGTGACGCTTAAACATATCAAAAACATAGTAGCAAATAATTACCATTTAGACAGCGATGAAGTTTATCATTATGTAAGTAGAGGCAAACGCACGACAAGCCAGACGGGTTACAAAACAAAATATTTAGCATAAACTAAAATCCCATAATTTTACGGTTTTATCATAAGAACCGGACACTATGCGCAAGTCGCTGAAGCGAAGACAGGTAACGCCGTCCGTATGACTTTTAAGCGTAACAATTCTTCGACCCGTATGTAAATTCCACACCTTAAATAACTTCTTGCATTAGATATAATCTAAAAATAAAATTACCAAAAACAACTGTATGACACAAAGGCAGTGGAAGGCACGCTGTGGCATCACAATCATAATTTTGATCCATAACATAAACAAGCTGCCCCTAATATGGCAAGGGCATTATAAACAAAAATCTTACAATCTTGGTTGTTACTACCCTTGCTAGAAAAGTTAATTTTGAATTTTGGAACAACGTACCATAAAAGTCCAAAATACACAACATCAAATGAAATTTTAAATAAAAAATATCACTGCCTCACTGCTAAGAGAGTTGGCAGTCGATATTCATCATATATGGCCAACCCGCTGTAGTGGATCATGGTTCAAACGTGAATGCCAGAGATATTACCTCGTATGCAATGACGGAGTGCATGTTTTATTAACAGCTAGATATACCCTAGAAAAAAGAATTCATCTCACTGTGATTTGGTGCAGCCAGGCGAAAAATAGGTAAGCAACTCGATTATGACGACGATTATAATGAGGTTGATGCTTACGATTATGATGACACTGGCAGTAACGATCATAACGATACAGATTATGGGGAGTGGTGACGTAATGGTCGTTCGGCTTTGAATTTTAAAGATGCAGTTAGAATCCAAGTATGACGTCATTTTGTTTCACTAATTGCTTACTTCATTGAGAAAACAATGCAACCTCATCTCAGAACGTTTTAGAGCCACCAGCTAAGAGATGGTAGCAATTCAATGAATTGAATTTGAGCAACTAAGCGAGCAACGCACGCCAGTGTGGTCGAGACTGATGTTGCAAGATTTATGGCCATGTTGCCTCACGCTAGCGCAATGTTCCTCGTTTTAAAAAATCGTTCTTCACTCTAAGTAAACCGGCATAAAAACCTGGTTGTAGCAGAGACATACAGTGTAGCGCTCAATTCACACAAGAAAACAAGGCCATCTGTGCTAATGATCAACGATGGTGCTGCGCGTGAAAATTCGAACTCGTGATTTGATTTAAGGAAGACATGAAAGTAATTCTGTATGTATCTGACCATCATCAAAAATAAGTCTAGAGATGAATGTTACTTGTATACAGTTTCTTCGCCTAAGGGTTATTGCGTCTCAACGAACACCAGAGACAAATCACCAGCATACTTCAGCATGGAGCTTTAAGAGAGCAAACAAACACAGAAAAAACAGATACAGAATCCATCTACACTACATCGCTTTAAACCAATACCTTCAAGGTTTTGTCGTCTGCCGCACTAACAATTCGCCAACTATCGGCCTGCAAACAACGGACGACGCCGGTGTGCCCTTCGTGCTTCATCCAGTCCAGGGTATGCAGCCATCGACCGGTTCGCACGTCCCAAAACTTTATTGTACAATCTAGTGAGCCGGAAACAATACGACTGTCGTCGAAGTGCAAACAGGTGACCGAGTTGCGATGAGCATTGTTCACCGTCATCACGCACTGACAGCTTCTCAGATCCCAAACCTGTAAACACGTAATTCACATGGACAGCCATACTTGTATGTATAAGCGGAAACAACCAAATTATAGATTTTCAAAGATTAATAATTAAGTATTCGAAGAAGTCTGGCTGTTCAAATATCTGTGAGCCAACTTCTGGATGGATGGCAAATGTGAGCAGGACATGAACAGAAGCACTGTGGAGGCGTAGTTCATCTTCAAGAGCCTTTGCAAGAACGCCCGGAATCGAAGAAGAATAACAGTCACTAGCAAGATATAACTCCATTGCGCAGTTGTCAGATCTACTGCTATACGGACTGGGAACGGTTGAACTCAGAATAACACAGGGACGTCATCTGGATAGCCCACAAGCTGGTTGTGACGGCTGCTGAAGATCAGGTGGAACGTCCACATAAAACAGATCATGTGTTTACACTACCAAACCTCAAGCAACCATGAATGGGCTGAGAAAGAGACAGTCGGTGTGGTTCGACCATTTCCAAAGAAACAATGAAACCACTGGATCGTCAGCTGCCTATGTGGAAACCCAAACATGAACTGCCAGAGATCGGTAGCCAGCACATCACATGGCAGAGGAAGCTGAAGAGAGGTCTGCAGTCGATGAGGAACGCTTCCTTCGTCGATACAGTTAATAGCTCCTAACATCAAAATGCAATAAGTGAAGAAGAGTCGAAATCGTAAATATTAGGCGACCTGCAGGTTTGTAAGGGCACTAAAGATGATTATGACAGAACACAGAAGCAATTAAAAA